TTATTATGCTTAAAAATTATTTTTAAAAGAGTTTGTTTGTTAAAAGAAACAAATATTTTATATTAAATACTACAAAAGGGTTTGTTTTAATATTTAATTTAATATTTAAAATTATTGTAATTTATAAATTAACTTAAAATTAAACAATAAAAATTATTAATGAGAATAAAAAACATTGAATAATATGTGTAGATTTTATTATAAATGTTATTTTTTATAAAACTATGTATTGTTCAAAATTATATGAAATTATAAATTAAATAGAAATTTTTCTACTAGTTATTTGTAAATTAAATATTTTTGTTATTAAATAGATAATTTACTTCGTTTTTATAATGAATTTTCTTATAAAAAGAACAAATAAACATTCTTTTTTAAATCTCTATAAAAAATTATAAAAGTTGAATATTTGATTATTATTTTAAAAATACAATGATGCATTGTTAAGTGTTTATTTGTAAATATATTAATATCGTTTTAAAATAATTTATTGTAAGCACTCTAATGATTGGAATTAAAAAATGTATTTAATTAATATTTGTTAATATTCCTTGAAATGTTTTAATAAATATTTTATGAGTTTTTTAGCCCTTCAAATAAAACTAAGTATCGTAAAGTCAAAAATTTAATCTTTTTAATAAAATTCAAAATTTTATACTTAAAATTTTACAAGAAAAAGATTTTTTAGACTTAAATTTTTTATAATTTATTCAAATTGTATTATTTACAATAATCATTCTTAATCTTTATTTAATTTTTACTTTATTTTTTATCGTTTATAAACAATTTTAATATCATAATTATTCAATAAATCATCAAACTGAATTTTAATAGTTTTTTATATAAAAATTTAATTATTATAACTAAAATATCAATATTAATAAATTTCTACAACAAACCATGTCTTTAAAAATTAAAACTTTTTTTTAATAAAAGAACTTTTAATTAATTTATTAAAGAGACTATAATACTAGATTTAACATTATTCTTCAAAATCAATATTTACAGTTATCAAATTTTTAGGAAGTAAATTATATTTGAAAAGTAATAATGTTTAATAGTTTATATTTTAATAAAAAAATAATATCTGTCATATTAAATTTAATAATAAAACTTTATATTAACTAATTTAATATAAAAAGAACTTTTTATAATAATAAACTATTTATATTATCAAGGTTTTAAATAAAAAGAAATTAGTGTTTTTAATTTGAATTTTAATAAAAATAAAAGTTTTTAACATCGTTAGATAATCTTAATTAAAATCTTTTAAGTGTCAATGAACTAAATTTTATATGAATATTAATTTTTAACACATATAATTATTTAATCTTTA